CAGTGAGCTAATCCACATTTTATAAAAAACGGGAAAAAACTCCGTTTTTTATAAAATGAGAGGAAGTGATGAACTCTAAAATTCATTATTCCGTTGTAAATGTAAATCAGATCACTGTTACAATAAGTCCTTCAATTATATTGGATGTTCAACTTGGTTGCAGAAATGTCAAAATTTTTTGCACACACATCATATTTGAACATTCTACATAATTAATTATTTTAATGGTCCAACATAATTATTTTTTAGATCTATATTGGGCCTAATTTTTATATACAAAATTGTTCTTTCTATGTATATAATAATAAAATATTGTCAAATTTGTTGTGTGATCGTACCGATAAAATATTTGTTTTAAAAAATTATTTTAATTGCGTGAATAATTTAATTTGAGTAACAAATTCTAATCAAGATCAAGTATAAGTTTTAGAGTTATAAACAATTAAAGTAAATTTTTAACAAGTAACGTTTGTGCAGTTTGCTTCAGAATTGCAAGTTTATTTATAATTGTCTTTATAATTATAGTTCTATTAAACATATTGCGTTTAATATGCATGCATGCATGCACGACAATACGCATGTGTATCGACAATACACACGTGTATCGACGATACACATGTGTATCGTGTGTTTAAGTAAAGTTTTAAGCAGTCATAAAGTATAGAATCGTAATAACATCTTCAGACATTATACTTATGTATATAAGAAGTTTAAATAAAAACTAACTATAATAAATTCGACCTCGAAATAATTTTTATCTTGTTCATCAAATCAGTCAGTCATGCGATACATTTGTATTAAATTGCTAAATTTAACGCAGTATTAGATATAATTATAATTGTAAACATAAACGCAACTATATCTATGATTGTAAAACTCTGCGTAGCTGCGTTATTGTAATAAAAAATTGTTGTCTTCTTAATGTAAATTGAAGACCGATTGCGCTATCGACTAAAAGACTATCGAGTGAAAGATAAAAAAATTATTTGTATTATCCATATTTGAAGCACTTGTGTAATAGAAGTATTCAAAATTTTAAAAATATTATGCCAAAATTTCATGGTCCTTACACACACACATACATACACACACATTTTGGCATGATTTCTGAAATTTTGGCATGATGTTTTTAATATTTCTATTTTAATGCTGATTACATAACTGCTGATAAGGAATACGATTGAATAAGCTTTTATCTATCTATCTATCTCTATATATATATATATATATATATATATATATATAGAGCTATGTATTAAATCTTCCGAGCCAACTTCAATCTCGATACCAATATGAGCGTCCCCAAGATTATTACTGCAGATATTATAACTTCACCGGCGGCCCCGTCGAGAGCTATCGTCGATAAGCCCCTTGATTGCTCGTATCGATAAACTCGTAGCGTTTCCTTTAAACGCCTATATATGCAGCACCAGTATTGACAGCAGCTCATTATCCGGTCGCAGAGCGCGCCGTACTGTATGCGGAAGGACTCGAGTGAGAAGCTCACCGGAAACGCGCAATTCGAGGGCTACAGCATCGACTTGATTTACGAGATATCGCGGCTGCTTGGATTCAATTATACGTTCCGGCTTGTGCCGGACGGACGTTACGGCTCGTACAACGCGCAGACGAAGGAATGGGACGGGATGATAAAGGAGCTGCTCGAGCAAAAGGCCGATCTCGCGATCGGTGATCTCACCATCACGTACGATCGAGAACAGGTTGTGGACTTCACGACGCCGTTCATGCCTTTAGGTGAGAGCCAACATTACGAAGTCGTGCAGCAAATACCGCCGCGATTTTACGATTTCCATAAACACGTTTATGAAAGGAGTTGTAAAAAAAAATACGCTATTTTATGTGAATTTATGTGAGCTTGAAATAACGTTATAATATTTTTTAACGATACTGCTGCTCCGAGCAATATAGCCTCGGGCAATACTCGGGAAAAAGACAAATACACATTTTAAGCAAACGCCATTATTAATATCAAAGATGTGACCGCTTTTACCGAAAAATACTATTTAATTGCGTTTTTGCACAAAACAGAAATTAAAAATCATCGCTTCTGGAAAAATAACGGTACGTTATTAATAGTGTCGCAAACGCAAAATTATACTCGAATTAAAATAACGGGATGAAATTTAAAATATCACACACGTGGCGGGCAATCTTTGTCCTGCATATCTCCGAAATTATTTCTCGTGCGCAATTTTGTGGGCCATTATGTATCTTCGTAAGCCATAGGTGGTCATAACGAAAACCGGAATAAATCTCACGGGTGATTATACTCCACGGACCACTGTGTCCACACATCAATGCATTCTACCTGTGATCGCTGCCGTGGCTAAGCATAAAATGAGAATTTTGAATTTCCAGGGATCAGCATACTTTACCGCAAACCCATAAAGCAACCGCCGAATTTGTTCTCGTTCCTCAGCCCTCTTAGCCTCGACGTTTGGATCTACATGGCGACGGCTTATCTCGGGGTCTCCGTGCTTCTCTTTATACTAGCCAGGCAAGTGAAACCACTTTAAATTCCTCCGGCAAAATGTTGTGACACTATTCTGGAAATTTGATCCCTTATCTAATCGATACGATCGCGTCTTGTGTAGCATGATGTACCAAATTAAGTACGAAGGAAACGTGAACCTGTCTTCGATGATTTTTGTACGTCTTTGTTTCATAAATTCAAATAATGCTCAAAAATTTGATTTATATCGATATCGATGTTTCCTAACTTTCTACAACGAGAATATGTAGGGTAATTCCGGTATATACGCCGCACCTATTAAAAACTTAATTAATTATCGGGTATTATTAATTATGTTTAAGGTAATTGAGCTGTACCAGTAAAAACCTTAGACTGTCTACTACAATGAAAAAAATATTAGGAATCTAAAATATTTATTTTTTATATTAAGAAAGAAATTTCTTTAAAACCTTGCATTTTTGCCGTATAAAAATAGGAGTGGGTTATACGCCTACTCATAAGTGGAATAAATGACTCAAAAAATATATACATAATCTAAATAATAATAATAAATAACACGTGAATTGACAACGTAATTTGCATTTACTTATATTAATAAATAAAGAACGTATTATCACAGATTATGAATAAGTACATACATATGTATATATATATATATATATATATACATGTATGTTATGATTAATGTATTGAAAAGGGCGTATTATCACGTATTATTATTTACTTTTATATTTAAAAATAAATAATAGAGCGTCTGTACTACGGCATAAATTCCACGCGCTAAAAATGCCGTATATCCTAAATAGATGGGATATACGAGACAATAAACTAAACAAAGAATACAAAAACTAAGCATTTGTATTTTGCTATACTCTATCCTTTATTATTCCTCTATACTTATGTACCACGAAATAAACACAAAGCCTTTTACATTTCCTACAATAATCATTTTATGTAGATTATATAACTTATGGTTGCGCTACTTATTACAGTGATAAGTAGATTTAACTTAGAATAATTTTATAAATATTAACAGTAAAAATCTGAAATCACAACACAATACTAATATAACATAAAGACATGAAACAGAGTGGTTGCGAGAAAATTACTTTCACTTCTTCTATTTTTTCTGACTTCTGCGGCGCAAATCCTCGCGCGGCGTATATACCGGAGTTACCCTAATTAGAAATTTAATCCTTCGTTTCTATTCAATTAAGTGTGTAATGTAATTCTCGTTATTGTTTTACATATTGCACTAGCTATATCTCGTGCAAATTATATTATTTACAAGCTAAAAATTTGTTCAAATAATGATAATATTATACATCAAGATGAATTCATAAGATAAATGCAAAAATTCTTAAGATAGATTTTTATACAACAAAACTCGCGTTCGATGCCATTGGATCAGAACGTATTTGGAATCGTTAAGTTTAGATTCACGCCGTACGAATGGTACAACCCGCATCCGTGCAACAAAAATCCGGACCGCCTGGAGAATCGCTTCAAGCTCCTTAACTGCTTGTGGTTCACCATTGGCTCCCTAATGCGGCAGGGTTGTGATATTCTGCCAAAGTAAGCTTTTTTACGAATCGAGATAATGATCTTCATGCACAAATACGTGCCCATCGCATTCGTTGCATGTCATACTGACGATGTCACGCTGATTATCCCTTAGCAAAACTAAATAGCATTGCCTTCTTCATGCATAGATCATAAAAGCTATCGATCAGTAAAAAGTATTCGGCAGAAATCGCCTCGAGATGCCAAAGCAATTTTCGTATTTGCATCAAGAAATAAGATACAATGTTATCCTCAGCTGTGTTATTCCTGAAAGTGCGCTCGATAAGATAAAAAGAATCAGCCTTAATTCATGAATTATCTATATTCTATAAGATTCTATAGAATTAGGTTCTATAGAATAAGGTTCTATAGAATTAATCAAAAAATTAACTAAATAAATAAATTTCATACGTTTAACAATATAATTGAGACTGATGAAATGATTCTCTGCCATGTAATAAAATATTTCGCCAAGAAAATGAGATTTATATCAAAATAACTCTTCTTGCATTGTATTTTCTTACTTTGACGAAATAATACGAAAAGATTGTATATACCCATGTATTATATGTTTCTGGTATTCTTCGCGCGTATTGCTTTCATCATGAAAAATCATTGTATCGCTTCAGCAAAGAGAGGACCTCAATTGGTTCTCACTCGATTGCACGAAGCATATAATATAATTCCACAAACTTTATATCGTCAATTTCAGAGAGAGCGACACCGCACAGACACAATCCGCGGGATAGGTGCACGCTTTGACATCTAATCTCGGTCCTTCCCCTTTCACCTGTCCGCAGGTTCAGCCCCTACGAGTGGGAGAACCCCCATCCGTGCAACGGGCAGTCCGAAGTCCTCGAGAACGAGTTCACCCTACTGAACTCGCTCTGGTTCACCATAGGCTCGCTCATGCAGCAAGGCTCCGATATAGCGCCGAAGTAAGTTACCGAAGAAAGCACGAAATTGTATATAAACCGATGGAGTACGAGTGTAGAATCCGTTATGTCGCCGTTGTTGGTCACCAGCGTAAAACTAGTTTAATCGTGCGAGAAAGGGATCGAGACCCGGAG